CCCCCCTCTCTCTCTTGGTTGTATTGTGTGTCGACGCTCACCTTCTTCTGATGCTGCTGGATGGGCAATGGACGCTGTGCGTGTGTCTGTGTGGGTGGGTAGGAGAGAGGTTCGCTTTGATGTGAGTCGTGTGCTGGTGTGCTGACTGTCTTATGCTTCCTGTCCACCTCACACATAGAGTGTTGATCATCGCTCTCTCTGTGTTAGGTGCCACGAGCGGCTGACAGACAGACACTGACAGACACTGCCTAATCAATTTGGGTGCATCCGTGTGTCTGTCTGAGTGCACCGGCCGTCGACTTACTGACTGACTGACTCGCCGCCTCTTATTGCCACTTCGGCGGTGGTTTTCTGTTTTGGGGCTGGCTCGGGGGTGCGCGGGTCACACCGTGCACTACTCCGCGTGTGACCATTTGTTGACGCTGCTTGTGTCTGCGCATGAATTTTGTCTGCTCACATCGTTGCGCCACTACCTGATACATCCATCCGTCAGTCACCTCGCAGATGTGGTCTGATGCTTTCATATTGAGCTGGTTTCATATTTGAGCCTCGCTGGCCGACTTTAACCTGCAGGTATCAGACAGACAGGCTAACCGGTACGATTGATTTATGTGTTCTGCTTTGCTCATCAGCACATGTGCTTTTTTTTTATGTGTGTTCAAGCTGTGTGTGTGGACTCGTGTGAGCGGTTTTCACCGGTCGATAGGCACACTTTACTTGACAGACATTTGTGCATTACCTAGGGATGTCCGCATGAAAGGTCGGCTACCCAAGGATATCAACACGGCAATCATAATCATTCCTTGCTGTCTGGCTGAGCGCACTGGTCGGCAGGCACGACGGCGATCATAGCAAATCGCATCTCGTCGGGCCGCCTGGCCATCAGCCCCCTCGCCACCGCCACACAATCACGCAGAAACCCCTCCTCGTTCGTCTCGCCGTGATCTACAGGCCCACTCTTGCGTCCATCCAGCTCATAAAGAGTGCCGCCGACCGCCACAAAAGCCGCGTAGTGCGTCCCCACTCGCTGACCCCTCTCGGGCAAAGTCGACTGGCCCCTCTCCTCAACACTCGTGTGCAGCCGCGCCAACTCGGCTGATTTCTCAATGGCCTCGGCGCGTTGCTGAGGGGAGAGATTGGCCGTGTGGGCGAGGAACCTCTCCAGGAAGCCGCCATTGGCCACAGACAGCCGGTGCGTCAGATTGGCCATCGCGTGAAGGACCGCCATGGTGCCGCACGCACCGCCGATGGTCTGCCGAGAGAACCAGACCTTCTGATCACCATTATCCTCCGTGGCGGCCGCTGCTGGGGTGTCCTGTCGGCTGCCGTCGGTGGGGAATGCCAGGAGGAGGGCGTGCACTGGCCGGGGGATCAGCTGGAGAGCCCACTCGTCAGTCGACAGCACATCGACGCACCTGACAGCCGGGCCTCCCAAGAGCTGAATGTACTCTGTCAGCAGAGAGGGGTCGGCCTCCAGCGGCAGCCAACACTTCGGTGAGCCGCTGTGTTTGTCGGCTGCTGACATCTCATAGAGGTCTTGTTGAGATGGATGGAGGCCGCGATCACCGCTACGAATGGGGTCTTCTCCTTGATCTACACAGATCCAAGAAGGGGAAGAAAAGGCAGGCAGGTCTTCATCAGCAGCGGTTTCAGGGAGCACCCGAGGCGGCCTGGCGGCCAAGTCCAGGACTTCATCAGAATGCGAGCTTGAAGCCAATCTTGGGTTTGAGAAGCTGTCAGGTCACGGAGCCTTCCATCGCCTCATCGACTGGTCGTGTGACGCATCTTTCGCCCGTCTTGTTGTTTGAGCAGAAGATGCCGATTCGACAGCTCTCGCCGCCGAGCTGAGCCACGTAAGCGATGCCGCACAAAGCACACATTGCCATCTCGCCGATCACACACAGGCGGCGTTCACAGATCGGCCATGTTTCCTTTCACTGGCTGCTGTTGCAGGTTCGTTTTGTTGAGTGACGTGTCTGCACCGGCCGGCAGCCATGAGTGGGCACCTCAACCACACGCTCGAGGTCGTCCTGCAGAACATCCTCGACATGGAGGGCGGGTCAGAGAACACCAAGAACCTCATCACGTGGCTGCGCGCCAACGACTCGCAGATCGCCCAGCATGCCGACAGCCTGGACGTGGTCATCGACAAGCTGTCGCCGGCGAGCAATGCGGCGGCGCTGTGCATCCTGCTCAACATACAAATGAGTAGGATGACCTTCAGGGACCCTCAGTACACCTTCGCCTACATCGGCAACTTCTGCAAAACATGTGACCCGACGCAGGTGCGACAGGACGCCCAAACACACACAGAGAGAATGGCTAGCAGCCCCTCTCTCTCTCTCTCTCTCTCTCTCTCTCTGTGTGTGTGTGTGTGTGCAGATCAGGCGTGTCAACCGCGAGTTTGTGGATCTGGTGCTGCAGTATTCGAAGGTGGCTTTGGAGAACAACCAGGCCATGACGGCCCTCCCAGCCCTCCGAGCCGCCGTCGAGCGCTTCCGCCCGTACGAGTGGGTCCTCACCCCACTCCACAGCGAATTCCTCAAGGTACGTGGCACACACACACGTGTCCGCTGTGGTATGAGTGTGTGTTGTCGCTGCTGTTGCCTTCAGGTGTGTCTGAAGGCGAAGCACTACACCTATGCCCTGCCGGTCCTCGACAAGCCAATCCTGGACGTCATGCCCAAGGTCGGCTCATGCGCAGCAGACACACACATGGATGGATTGGACGCCCTGATGTGTGTGTGCGTGTGCAGTACACCTTGACGAGCGTCTTTGGCTTTCTGCTCTACTTCTATTATGGCGGTCTGATCTACATCGGCGTCAAGCGCTTCCACAGTGCGCTGCAGTGCTTCCACATCTGCCTCGGCTGCCCTGGACAGGCCGTCTCCGCGATCCAGGTACACATGCACACACAGAGAGTGAGGGATGTGTGTGTGGATGGATGGATGGATGGACAGAGTGCATTCGTGTGTGTGTGTGTGTGTGTGTGTCCATTAATCAGATGGATGCGTGGAAGAAGTTTGTCCTGGTGACGATGATTGAGACGGGCGAGGTGCCTGCGCCGCCGAAAAACATATCGCAGGTAGGTACAACGCACTCACACACATTCTGTCCTCACACAACACATGTGAAGAATAGCGTCCTTCTTGTTGTCTGTCTGTCTGTCTGTCAGGCTCTCTCTCGTGTGCTGCAGCACCGGAGCATGGCTGCTTCCATCGGCACGGCCTACCACGAGCTGACGGAGTGCTTCCGGCGGCGAGATATGTCCAAGCTGCGCACACTGCTGTCCGCCCCCGAGGCCGCCGACGCGTTCAACAGAGACCAAAACCTGGGACTCGCCAAGCAATGCCTGCCGGTACATACACACACACACACACACACACAGACACACATATGGAAAGGTACAGAGATGGACGCATCTCATCTGTTGTGTGTGGAGGTGTGCAGGCATTGCAGCGTCGGCTAGTGCTGCAGCTGACGTCGACCTACCTGACGCTGTCGCTCGAGGACCTCCGGACAAAGGCATACATCGGGTCGATCGCCGAGACCGAGAGCCTCCTATTCGACATGATCACTCGGGTGAGTGAGTGAGTACGGGACGCACTCATTCACATTGACGTCAATGTTTGTCTGTCTGAATGCGGGTGTGTGTGTGGCCACACACACAGGGCCAGTTGTGTGCCCAGATTGACCATGAGAGCAACCACGTGGTCTTCACCGATGACGGAGACCAACACGAGGTATCTCAGATGGCA